GTTTTGAAACGACGTTCACTTTCTTAAAAGATTTCTAACTAAAAGCGGTTAAATAATTCTAAAATTGCACCATAGGCTAAACATGTATTAAAATCAGACTTCAGCCAAATATAGCAGTTGAGCGACCGTGCTAGAACCACGAAACTCGGGAGTGCCTAATCCCTCCTCCCGGGTTAACAGAATTCCTTACCCGGATTTCTGGTTCCCGACTGTTAATACAGAGTCAAACCCTTTCCTCGATTCGGGATTCAAACCGGTGACTTGGGACACCATAAATCTCCCAAGTGGCGACTCTGAACTTCTTAATAAACGAATCCCGTTTCGATTGTCCTTTAATTGGAAAAACTCCTTTTATTATACCCTTCACGGGGTGTAGTAGTGAAAAAGGAGGTGTGACACCCCCTTTCAAGTATATCAGTGAAAACTCAACTCTTTTACCGAAATCGTCGAAAATACGAGTAAGTTCGAAAACTGTGAGTTTTTCCGAAAATCCTTTCAACAGTAAATATGATGTTTCATTTCTTCCGGATAGCATGTGTGAAATACCTCTCTATGCCCACATATCAATGTGTGCAAAAAAGTCATGAATGACGTGATACTGTACAACATGAGAAAAACTGCATCTCTATGCCTGTATATCATGGGCATGTCAAATGCGATGCGACTCAGTAGCAAAACCATATGCGTACTCTCAGAGTATCAATTCACTCAGTCCTCCCAATCACTCAGTCCTCACAGCCACTTAGTCCTCCAAATCACTCGGTACTCGCACTCAGTAGGTACTTGCGCTCACTGGGGGTGTGTAGACTCCAGAGGGGCTCCTTCAGCCCAAGCGCTATAACAAGCCAATCATGGCATAAAAATCAGGCCTTCGGCCTCACTCACGCATAAATCAATAAAACATACTGCGGCGTGTAGCCCGATCCCATAAATATCCTCACAATTAGGCCATCGGCCTCACTCAGGCATAAATTAATAAAACATGCTACGGCGTGCAGCCCGATCCCATAAATATCCTCACAATCAGGCCCTCAGCCTCACTCAGTCATTAATCTCTCCAGTCTCTCGGGCCCTCAATGTCATGAAACTAGCCCGACAACAATGATATGATGTATCTATAAATAACAACTGAGAGTGAGATATGATATGAATGCATGAATATGAATGAGTACGAAATATCAATAACATTAGTGAGGTGATAGCAAGAAACGACCACTATGGTTCCTAACAATATCAGCATAAAGCCTGAACATGATATCTAGCATGATTGACAGCTTAATTAATTAATCACATGGTGAAAACACAGATATCAACAAACTAGGGCCACTAAACAGTGCCAGGGAAACAACAGAGTCACAATTCACAGGGTGCACGCCCACACGCCCATCACCTAGCATGTACGTCACCTCAACACCAATCACATAGCACATAATTCAGGGTTTCATACCCTCAGCGCTAAGTATAAAAGAGTTACTTATCTTGAACAAGCCGATTTCGCTACCGATCAAGCCAACCGATGCTTTAAAAATGCCATCACGCGCGTTCCGACCTCCGAACGACTCAAAACTAACCAAAAGACAAATCAAATATACCAAACAATGCTAAAGGAACCAATCTCAATCGAAAAAGGTCTAATCTTTAATCAAAATCCCAAAATCGGCCAAAAAGTCCAATCCGGGCCCGCACCTCGGAACACGATAAATTTACAAAATCCGACAACCCATTCAATTACGATTCCAACCATACTAGTTTCACTCAAATCCGACTCCAAATCGATGTTCAAAACTCCAAAATTCATTTTATGAAATTTTAGACAAAACCCCCCAAATTTCACTTTGAAATCATCAATCAAATGCCAAAAACGAAGATGGATTCATGAAATATAACCAAAATCGAGTATAGAATACTTACCCCAATCCATAAGGTAAAAATTGCCTCCAAAAATTGTCCAAATCCGAGCTCCCCAACTCAAAATATGACCAAATGAACAAGCCTTCCATATTAAGTAATTTTGCCCAGCTATTCTGCCTCGTTTTGCATGCCAAACCATCCCGAAACTTGGTTTTGATGCCTCCAATGGATTCCTTGTGAAATTTCAGTCAAGATAGGCTTTTGAATCACTCCATTTGACCTTATAATGAAAGAGATATGTTGGTTTCAATATTTGGAAATAGTGTAGATTTTTGAGTACGAAGCTATGGCAATTTCGTAATTAATCTGTGGCAACACAATTCTTTGTCAAATGGCCATAAAATCCTCATACGATGACCAAATTCGATGATTCTTTTTGCTATGCCTCCGTAATTGCAATACGGATCTAATGCTTCAATCAAAACATAAATTGGAGCTCATATGCTTAATGTGGTACCATTTATGCTTGAAGAAACGACGTCAAAACATAAGAAAAACGAGCGCAATACAACCAAAACCTATCCGAAACTCACCCGAGCCCTTCGGCACCTCGCACGAACATATCAACAAGTCCCATAATATAATACGGACCTACTCGAGGCCTCATTTCATGTATAACAACATCGAAACGACGAAACGCACCTCAAATCAAACTTAATGAACTTTCGAACTTTCGACTTCCAAAACTCGCGCCGATACATATCAAATCAACTCGGAATGAACTCAAATTTTGCACACAAGTCCTAATACATCATACGGAGCTACTCGTGCCCCCAAACTATCGAGCGAAGTGCAAATACTCAAAATGACCGGTCGGGTAGTTACCAAAATATCTCATCTTATTTAATACTATTAACTAATGACTTGTCAACGAAGAAAAATGCGAACTCTTTGATTGTCCATACTTGACGAGGTTTAAATAAATAAGAGACTTTTTCCCCTTCAATTTAACGCGCTATACCAAAATGTGTTGGCTACGAATTTTGTGCTACAAATAAGCCTACTTATTATTATGCTAAACAAAGATTTATTGTGAATTTCAAATTTTAATATGAGAAAAAAAAATACACAAACATAAAGAAAAAGTTGATGAAATACTGGTAACTTTTTTAGTTTCTTTTTCCTTAAGTTTAAGATTAGATGGTTAACTCGGAAACACAATACTTCCTCCGGTGTACAATAAGTGACCAATTTACTTTGGGCACATCCATTAAGAAAATACTAAATTCTAGAGGAAAATAGTTAGTGTGACTAAACTGTCCTTCATTAAATGTTGCACCATAGTTATAGTAGCATTTACTTCTCTTCTCAAACGTGAGGAGTAAATGACTTTTTAGGGATACGTACATAAGGGTAATTTTGAAAAAAAAAATTGAATTTTTTCTTGATTATATAAATGGACACTTATTTTGGACCAAAATAAAAAAGCAAATTGGTTACTTATTGTGTACCGGAGGGAGTAATCTTTATTTAATAAAGATGCATATAAAAATTTCATCTTTAGAAGGTTGCCCAAAAGCGGTATATAAGGCGTACCCAGTAAAACTTATAAGTAAACCAGATATAATATATATTATTTAAATGGAATTTTTACCTCCTATAGCAAAGGTTGATACCTTATTTATTTTAAATAAATACCATTTTAAAAAATTATATTCCATAGCTACCTTTTGATTTTTATAGCCAAATATCTATTTATGGTTACCTCCTACCCTTAAGCCATAAAATACGCCTTGTATTATTTTTCTCTCTCGTTCTTTCATATTCTTCTTCTTCTTCAGCATTCTCTGTATCAATCTATCCTCGTTCTTCTCTTACAAAAACCCAACACAAAAACTACACATCTCTCACTCTTTGGATTTGAAATCAATGTGAACCCTGCACCGAATGTTACCAGCAAGCGGATCCAATTTTCAACCCTTCCGATTCCACCGCCTACACCCGAGTGTTCCGCTCTTCATCTCTATATAAATCTCCGTATTCCTCTTCTCTTCGTTGTTCTAGGGTTCTGCCCAATCTGGGGTTTGCCGTCCCAATCCACAAGTGCCATTCAAATTCAAGGGCTGACCACGGCAGTTGGATTGATGTTCACCACTTTCGAGGCAAGCGAAACTATCAGTTTTTTACTGTGCAGGATGCGTGGGAACAGTGAGATTCAGGGCTTATGGTCGACGGCAGACTCGCCGGAAATTAGGGTTTTTTCTTGAACAAAGACGACGGAGTTTGGGGCTGAGCAACTTGATTTTCTGTTAATATATTTCAATATTTTTTCAATATATCACGCTGTATTTCATTGTATTTATTGTCCTTTTTCTCATAGTAATTCAATGTATCTCGCTGTATTCCATGTATTTCATTGTATTCACTGTCTTTTTTTCCATTGTATTTCAATGTATCTCGCTGTATTCTATGTATTTCATTGTATTCACTGTCTCTCTATATGCCATGAATGTATTCATATGTTTTTTAAATTAATATAATTTATGTATTCAGATGTATTATATAATTTCTCTGAAGATTGCTATATTTTTGGGGAATTTTTCGGTTGAGAATCCTTTTTATAACTGGAAATACAAATTTTGTACGTTATAATTGGGTTTGTTGAGTTATATTAGGAGTTTATTATGTTAATTAATTCACTTTCCGTTTAAAAACAGTGTAATCCCCTATTCACGCGTCGAATACAATAATCTGTCCAGCTGTAATCCCATGTTTCATGCCATGAATACAGTCGAATACACTCGAATACAATAACTGATTAGCTGGACTTCCCTGATTCACGCCTATTTTTGCTACTGTATTCATGAATACAGTAGCTTAAATACATCTTATAACAACAGAAAACGTATCTACAATCCGTAATATAGCAAATGATATCTATAGATAACTAATTACCACTAAAAGATAGTGTTTTAGATAAATTTCTCTATTTAAATTAACATGTATGATCATTACAAGACAAGTGAAGTAATGCAATTAAGGAAGTTATTTTTGAAATTAAGTATTGGGCTCCGCTAGTTACCTAAAAACTACCAAGAAAGGAAACAACACACGTGGCTGGTTTTAAGCATAATCTCTCAATTTCCTTTTCCATCAATCTCTCAATTCTTTATTGCAAAAATCCAAATACGCACATTTTCGTTCCTCTGTTTTCTCTCAACACATTCCTCTGTTTCTGTTTCTGTGTCTGGTTTGGGAGAATGAGTTTAGCAGCGAAAACAGTATGCGTAACAGGAGCTTCAGGTTACATAGCGTCATGGCTCGTCAAATTCTTGCTCCAGCGTGGTTACACTGTTAAGGCTTCCGTTCGTGACCCAAGTTTGTCCCCCTTTTCTCTCTCTTTTTTTCTCTTTCTATAATCCAGCATTTCATGTTTTTTATTTGTTCATTTGATGTAGAAATGGGGAACATGGATTTGTGATCTTTTATGGGTGTTGATTTTTTGATTTGATTAATGACAATTGGGAGAAAAATGTGGGTTTTTTTGCCATGCAATTGATTTGTTTGTTGTTATGATCGTTGGGGCTGTTGCGGTATGGAATTTCAGGTTTTAAAAGATCATTATTATTTTGACATCTGAGGATTGTTTGTTGAATTGTGTGAACCGTTTCATCTAAAGGTTTAAAAAATTATTAAAGAGAGGGATACACTTTTGTTTAATCATCTATTTTAATTTACGTGCCGGGCCCCAATTTTTGTCTTGGGCCACAATAGTGAATTAAGAAATTTTTCCTTTTTTGTTTTTTAATGAATCATGAGTGGCAATTACAGCTTGTTTGGATGGTTATTCCCGGTTGTATCCTATTGTATTGTTATACCAAAACAATGTTTGTTTTGATTGTTTCATTAAAATTGGTTGTATTGTATTGTATTGTTAAATCTATTGTTCCGGAACAATGAAAAGTACTCTTTTTTAAACAACCGATTTGGTGTGGAGGGATTGTTTCCTATTTTTTCTTTTCAATTATGCCCTAACTTATTACTCCACGATTCTATTTTACCCTTTACCTTTTTTTCTATTTTAACTCCAAATCTCCAACCTATAACCTACTTTATTTTTTTCAAGAACTTCTGCCACCAACGTTAAAGATGTTTTGCCGCCTTCTGTTTTATTTTTTCTCCTAATTTGCTTTTAACTCAATCCTAATTAGCTGTGCTCCTTCGTTTTGGCTTCTTTTGTCTCGCTCTTTTGTTCTGCTTTCTTAAGGTGTTTTGTCTTTTTCTATTTTATTTTTTAAAATTATTTTTATGCATAATTTTAATAAATTTAATATTTAAACAATTGAGAGTATTTTAGTCAACTTATCGGTTACAATACAGTACGATACAGTCAAACCAAACAGCAAACTATTATTTAACAATAACAAACAATACAATCTATCCAAACATTGTATTTATAAAACGATACGATACGATACAATACAATACATTATAAAACGACTGGAAACAATGATCCAAACGGAGTGTTAGACTCGAACTTAGGATTTCTACATGTGTAGATATCACATTGAATTGTAAGAACTACTTGATCCTAAAAGTTTAAACTAGTAGATAGGAATACACATTTATTTATTTATCTTAATTCACTCGGGGCCTGATTTATTTTCTTGGACCAAGCATGTGCATTTATTTTTGTAATGAGAATTTTTTTTTTCTTTTATTTTTATTAATGATAATGATGGGTGGCATTTAGACTTGAATTTAAGACCTTTACCTGCTTTGATATGTACAATTTTGAATTGTATGGCCAACTTGATCTAAAAATTTAAGCTTTTAGAGAGGGGACACTTCTATTTATTTGTCTAAGGCCTGAAGTATCTTATTGGGTGTCTTGATTTGATTTCATTTAGCTTCTTATGTAGTTAAATAGATCGATAGAAGGCATTGGGTATGCATACTAATGAGTTAGTTTTTCAATTTGACATATAAATGATCTTTTAATTATGGTGCCCCTGGGCTTTGGTCTAGTGGTAAGAGCGCAACACATAATGTGTGTTAGGCTAAGTTGCTCGGACGCAGGTGCAGGTATCCGACACGGGTGCGGATCTAGAGGTTGGATCCTTCAATATGTGAATTCTAAGATTCCGGGATATGGATCCTAGTACGGATACGGGTGCAGGGATCCGACTAAAAATAATTCAAAAAAATTAAAATATCTCTAAATTATGAGAAATTTTGTGGAATACTTACGTATAGCTTGTAAAGTGTGGATTTTCTTTTTATTCTAAAGTTGTAAATAAGTGAAGGATTGATTTCCTAGATAAGATATGCTATTTTCTTCAAATTTACTCTAGTTTTGGTTCTGATTTCGGGATCAAATTGTGTCTCGTCTGGAATTTTTCTGTTCATCGTAGTTAAAGTACCCAAAATTGTTTGACCAGATCCAGTATGGATCCTATACCCACACCCATACTAGTGGCGTTTTGACACAGGTGCGGCACCTAAACTGCCGTGTCGGAGCAACTTAGGTGTTAGGCATACGTCACAGGGTTTGAATCTTTCCAAGACAAAAGCATGATATTTAAGTGAAGATGGGGAGAGGGGCTGGCCCATTATTTTGGACCGTGCGCCACTGGCCTTTGGGGATTTCTTTGTTATCACACACAAAATAAAAAAATAAAAAAATAAAAAAGAATGATAATGTGATTATGGTAAGATAGTTTTTCAATTCGACATAGAAGTGATCTTTTGATGATGGTAGCCTAAATTTTCCTTATAAAGCCACTCGTGTACTCATTTTCATGGGAGATGAGGGAAAAGGGAAATTCTACCTGGTTGGGCAGAAAACACGAAATCTTTTGCTGAAGTTCTCTTTAAATCAGTAAAGTAGTTGGTGTACGGAAGACATAAAGTTTTGAGTAAGAAGTGGTTGATTAATGTGTGTAGATTATTTTGATTGCTCTCTGCACCTTCCCTCTTCTTCTCCATGTTAAGCCGCCTAATATTACTCCTCCACCACCACTATTATGAGCCACTGACACATTAAACCTTTATGCACTGGTACATGTGTTTTCTGATTCAACGCTCACTGGACACTAAAATCCTATCTCATCCATGACCTTTCGGCCACTTTCTTTCGTTATAAGAATTTCTCTTTATTTTTGGTCGGTATCTGATGAACCTGGAGAACATATTTTATGAACACTTGGCCAAGTCCTTACTCGACCAATGTAGGGGAAAATATGTTATTTAGCATTCTCCTTTACAAGTCATTCCGAGATTTAAAAATTTTTCCACTTATCTTTTTGCTTCTTCTACCACCTTCACCCTCCCCGCGTCTGTTTTTTTCTTGCTTATTCTCCCAGCTCCCCCCTTCCTTCCTTTGTTTAGAGAATTCAAGCTTTGGGACTTGATTACTTGATTGATTAATATGGTACATCTCTATACCAAACCAACTTGCAAGCAGTTAGAGAGTCATTTCTGTCAATCAATTAGCCAGAGCCAACTCTCGATCTAGTCAGTATGGTGCCTTTGCAGATCCTTTTCTTCGAATGTACAGCTAAGGTCGATCTTCTTTAGTAAAGAAAAGATTCCTAAGGTTTTTGCCTATCACAGGGACTTAAAATTTCAGCTCTCTTAATTTAAGATCGAACTATGAAAAAATTAGATATTTCGTTCTTTGTCTGTGTTATTAGGTCATATTTACTGCTTATATTTGTTGAATCCATTGTGATTTCTCCTTGCAGATGATCCCAAGAAAACACAGCATTTGCTTTCCCTTGGTGGGGCCAAAGAGAGGCTTCACTTGTTCAAAGCAAACCTGTTAGAAGAAGGTTCATTTGATGCTGTGGTTGATGGATGTGAAGTTGTATTCCATACAGCATCTCCATTTTACTACTCTGTTACAGACCCACAGGTCCTTTCCTCATTCTCATAAATTTGATATTGGAAATGCTTATCCTTCATTCTAGGTGAGAAAAGCCCATAGTATAATGGTGTTCGACTGTTCTCCAGAAATAATTATATGGAAATCAGCATCTTTATTATGTTATATCAAGTTAGCTTTCTATCAAGGAGAAATTCAGATGCCTTTGAAAGGAGACAGATGCTATGCTGATGAACCATAGCATGTGTCCTGTTTCATTGGATGAGATACTATATAATTTGCATTCCCATTTTCTCTGCTCCTTGTTCCTTTTCTATTTGTTCGGTCCTCCTCATTTTTCTTTCTCTTTTCCACATTGAAGTTTCATTCTCTTTTCTTCTCTTCTTTCAAGCTCCTTTGTAGCTTGGCTGTTTAGTAAATAAATTTAACTTGACGATTCATGTCAAAAGTAGACTGCCATAGAAAACTCTAAAAGTTTATTTCAAGAAATATGCTCACCATTGAAAAACGGTAAGCTTAAGCTAGGTGATTTCTTCCCATCTGCCTATGTGTTAAGTGTTTGTGGGTAGAGTTACTCGGTACCTGTGCTAGTGGGAGGTAGTAGATACCTGGTGGAACTGCCGAGGTGCTCGCAAGCTGGATCAAACACCACCATTTTTATAAAAGAAAAGAAAAAGAAAAAAATCACTCACCATTATTACTTGTCCCCAAACGTCAGTTAAGTTACTTTTGACCACCTAATAGACTGAAACTCTCACATAAATATGAAACCTAATAAAAATGGTGATTGAATGGTTTGAATCATGCTCATGAGATATCAAATTCTCCTTGATCTATCTCTAGAACTTTCTCTATTTTGGATCATGTCTAGTGGCTATAAAACTAGACACTTATGGTTGGTCGAGGAAAGTTCACTATAGTAAGTAGTAGGGGTGGAAAATAGGCGGGTTAGGCTGAATTAGGTAGGTTAAAATTGGCCAAATCAATAGATGACCTTCCCAGAATATAGTCTGGCGGTCTGGCCCGAGATGGGTTGGATCAAGGTGGGCTAAACAATGAGTCATAATCCGACGTGCCCAACTTGACCCATCTTTTGTACATGATGAAACTTATTTTCCATCTAATATAAAAGTTACCTATGAAGCGTATGTTTTCATAATCTCTTAACTCGTTTTGCATGCATGGAATGACATGACAGAAACTTGTAGTAATATCTAATTCGGACACGTGAATAATTTAGAAATTATAAACGGTGTAATAGAAAGATAATTACTTCATTAAAAAGTTGCAAAGCGAATACATTTGTTTTCTGGAATTTGGATCCAAGTTTTGTCTTTGAGATTGTTCATAAAAAAGTGAAAAATGATAATTTTTCAGTGATCCGGAAAAAGATTACTTGTATACTACTGGCCAACTTATAGATATTACAAAATCTAATGTTTAAAAATTCAATAATGAACTTCAACTGTTGGAACTTTATATCTCTTCAGTTAGGTTCAAATGGATAAGAAAGGGACTTACACTAGGTCACCAAACTTAGCCAGAGAGGGCACCAAAACTCTCTGAGAGAATAATCACATTGAAGTATACAACTCTTGAAATACATATTTCTCCTTTCAATGTAATTGTTGTGCAAGTATGAAGCTTAATAATTTTGTAACGTTATTATGGAGCTTTTGTTATAGACCTCTACTAGTTGATGGTGGAACTGTTCACATCTGGTAGTTGCACATAAGATTACTCATGTTTTCTAGAAAATGAAATGTGTATGATGTTAATATTATTTTATGAAACTGACATAGCCAACTTGCTTACTATGGTACTTAGAGCTTGTTTGGTTCAATTGTGGGATAGACAAGGATATCCCATGGATTAGCTATATATGGGATAGCTAATACCATCATTTTGGTATAAAATTTATACATGTATTAGCTAGCACTCATAACCAAACATGGGATAAATACAATCCCAAATTCTATCCCGGGATTAGTATTCTTATCCTGGTAACCAAAGGATCCCTCAAAGTAATTAGCTTTATGGACTTTTAGTGATGGTTTCATTCAATCCTAGATTTACCCATATTTCAGGCTGAGTTACTTGATCCTGCTGTCAAGGGGACACTCAATCTTCTTGGTTCATGTGCCAAAGCACCATCAGTAAAACGAGTGGTTTTAACATCTTCCATAGCTGCAGTTGCTTATAGTGGTCAGCCTCGGACACCTGAGGTTGTGGTTGATGAAAGCTGGTGGACCAGTCCAGACTATTGCAGAGAAAAGCAGGTGTGCCTATAGTTCTTTCTTCTTCTTCTTTTTGAGCACATTCATGGACAAAATAAAGTATGCTAATGTTGTGTAACTATTTATTCTTGTATGTGTATTGGGAAGGTTAGGGACTTATAAATGTTTAAAATTGCAGCAGAAGCATTGCCTAAAAAGTTTGTAAACACAATATTCTCTCTATAAGAGTATAAGGGCTACCTAGATTTGTGATGAACTAGATGCACTTTGCCTACAGTTACTTTTACAATAGGTTGGTAGTAAGATTGACCAGGCGCATCATAACGGTGTGCATCTCTCTTATTTTAATCTCAACAAGAACTCATTAACCATGACAAGGTAATCCAGTTTAAAGAATTTCTAGTGCTTCTATGCGCGGCACTTAATTCTGATTAATGTCACAAGTTGCTATTTTTGAAGTTATTTATGCCAATTGTAGTTTCTGACAGTTTCTTACTTTTACGTGTTCATCCAAGCAGTGTTATCAAAGGCGCGCTTAAGCCCTGAAGCGAGGCTTAAGACATGTTGAGCGCTTCGCCTCGCTTAGCGGGCGCTTCAATATTGTCATCAAGTCTCTAAGGCATACTTTTCCTTTCCAATGAGCGTAATTCCGAAAAGGCGACACTAAACAATTGATATTTCACTTTATCGTAAATTTTCTTCAATATCTTTGTCCATATATTTGGTATTCCGTATTCATGCCTATAGGTATTAGTCTTGGACTACACATACATATTTGTCGTTTTTCTCCATTTGCGCCTTTCTTCGTTAAAGCCCGCGCTTTATTTGCGCTTTGTGCTTAAAGCCCCAAAAAAGCTTAGAGCTTTTTGCGCTTTTCGCCTTTGATAACATTGCGTCCAAGCACTTTTCTGGTTGATAGAGAATTAGAAAGACGTGTGTTTTGGACATATGTGCTTTAAGCTATGCTGTTTTAGTCACTTTTTAATTATAAAGAATCATCTCATATTATATTATCTGTTTTATTTGTGACGTATCAAGTCTGGTGAGTACATACTTTTGGTTGATTTGTTTTGATTGAAATCTTTGATCTTGTAAGTAACCTCCTTGTTCTTTGCATGTTTAAATAAAAGTCACATTTTCTGAAGATCTCTCTCTTGTGGGAATTGTAGACTCTCCACTATTTTGATTCCCATCCCCCCCCCCCCCCCCCCCCCACGGGGGTCTGGATTTCAATCTATGACATTTTTCTTTCCTCGTGTTTCTTTTTAGCTCTGGTATGTTCTCTCAAAGACATTGGCTGAGGATGCTGCATGGAAGTTTGTGAAAGAGAAAGGCATTGATATGGTTGCAATAAACCCTGCTATGGTTATTGGTCCTTTGTTACAGCCTACACTTAATACCAGTTCTGGTGCAGTCTTGAACTTGGTAAATGGTATGTTTTTAAACTTAAGTTCGTTAAATCTTTACTTTATAGCTTATGCTAAGTACCTTTATCAATCTGGTGAAGTAACATGGACATGACTGTTAAATCTAACAAATAGAAATATCAAAGGCCGCACGGCAGGCAAAGACTGAGGCTGTGTGCAATGCCGAGGCTGTCTCAAAGGCCAAGGCAAAACACAAAATTCTGTCATCTTTTTCTTTATGGTCAACCTAATTAAGACCTATTCGACTACTTTAACAAAACTAGATTGATCTTCCTCCTAGTATGAATATGACAAGATTGTATACGGGAATGGTATGTTTTTAAACTTAAGTTCGTTAAATCTTTACCTTATAGCTTATGCTAAGTACCTTTATCAATCTGGTGAAGTAACATGGACATGACTGTTAAATCTAACAAATAGAAATATCAAAGGCCGCGCGGCAGGCAAAGAACGAGGCTGTGTGCAATGCCAAGGCCATCTCTAAGGCCAAGGCAAAACACAAAATTCTGTCATCTTCTTCTTTATGGTCAACCTAATTAAGACCTATTCGACTACTTTAACAAAACTAGATTGATCTTCCTCCTAGTATGAATATGACAAGATTGTATACGGGAGTTCTTTTTCCCATTATTAATAAAATTACTTACCTTAAATGAGTATGACAAGAATCACACCTCTGTCTTATAGCTTAAAATAATGGGGTTAAATTGAGAGCAATTCGTCCAAAATACCGGTTCGGCTTTTTATCATTTTGCTATTGTTGGGTGTTGTCCTGTTGCTTTGGCTGGAATTTGAAGGACTCGAGGCTGAGGGGCTAGGTGGGGTGGCTATGGTAAGTACAATTATTGCAAAAACCAATGCTGGGGTGATGTGCTTATTAAACTGGAGGTGAATTCTCTTGTATATTTCAAACAAAATGGGAGATCAGCTTAGTTTTTGTAAACTAGAGAGGACTTCATAGTAAATACCCTTTTAAGTTTAAATATCAATCAAAGGCTAAACAGAACAATTGAGGCAGACAATATTAGTCATGAAAATGTAATTATTTTATTGGTAAAATTACTTTTTCTTATTTTTTCCCCTAATGATATTGCAATCTGTTTATTCATTAAATGTGTTTTGACATCCCTTTCATCATTTTGAATGTTTATTTTTCCATGTTATATAGGTGCCGAGACATACCCAAATTCTACCTTTGGGTGGGTTAACGTCAAAGATGTCGCAAATGCACATATTCTCGCGTTTGAGAATCCTTCAGCTAATGGAAGATATTTAATGGTTGAGAGAGTTGCCCACTACTCTGATATACTGAAGATATTACGTGATCTTTACCCTACTATGCGACTTCCAGAAAAGTAAGTACTCATCAAAAAAATAAGTTCGTTTTGCTTGAGCTTTGATCACACAAACTTGCTATGTCGTTAGATGAATATGACATGCAGATTGATTCTTGATCACTTTACGTGAGAGAAAAAGATCAGAAAGAGAGAGAGAGAGAGAGAGAGAGAGCACCAGAGACAATCAAGCTTTTGAAATAGCATGAAACTATCAAGCTTTGCATTGAAATTGCTTTTTAACTACATTTCTTGAAATAACCTCTGTAGGTGTGCTGACGACAATCCGTTGATGCAAAACTATCAAGTATCAAAGGAAAGGGCGAAAAGCTTGGGTGTCGAATTCACTCCTCTCGAAGAAAGCATCAAAGAAACTGTTGAAAGTTTGAAGGAAAAAAGGTTTTTTGGAGGCTCATCGGCTATGTGAGCGTTTCTCAAAGCTTTTCTGGAATGTTAGCAAGTCTTGAAAAACTTATATTCTTTACAAAAGCTAGTACAACCATAGCCTGAACAATTTCCCTTCTTTTTGTTTTGGGCTAATTTAGAATTTAGGTGTCAGAGTCCATACCCCTTAATAAATTTTGATCAAACTTGGTTGAAATTTTTTGTGAATTTCTATAGCTGCATAGATTGCTTAGCAAAGCTGTTAATGCAAAGCATCAATATATATGTAAGCTCTTATCGAGTTTTAAGATTTAGTCACTGTCTTGATGCAACAAGCTCTTTCTATACCGTGCAGTGGCGGATCCAAGATTTAAATTTTATGGGTTCAACTTTTAAGGTTTTTAGCATTGAATACATTATATTTTTAAAGTTATAGGGTTCATATTTACTAATTTTGCAATTTTAATGAATTTATACATATAAATTTTTATTTTGCGTCGAAAGTTATGGGTTCAGTTGAACTGTCGATGAAACACTACATCCGTCTCTGATACCATGAGCAGAACTCTAGAGATGCACAACAAAGCGGACCTTGCCTAATGACAGATGATCCCAACTTGTTTGAGACTGAGGTGTAATTGGTGTTGTATGTAATTGGTGTTGTAAGAACACACGGAGATTGTAATGCATAGTGTATGGTATAAAACGAGTTTTATTTGGCGAAGTAAGATAAGGGACATTCTTAAGTGGTAGTTTAGAAAAAACATGAATCTTGGTATTCTGGATTTGATAGATTTTGTAACCTGGATATGGCAGTTACATCAAAATTTTGAAGCACTGAATAGTCTAATTCCAAAATATTTATTAATTAATAGGTATTAGAGTTGTATCCCCCGTTTGGTCTAAAGGTTCCATATGGGAGGACTGCACCAAAAGAGCACCATGCATCAGGTTAATGCCCGGAAAGTGTTGCCGTATAGGACTCATCAGAGCAGTCTTCACGTAAGACCAAGTCACGGTGATCATAGCTAGTGACGGAACCAAAATTTACACTATTGGGAGTCGAACAATAAAAAAATGTTAAAATATCATGGTATAGCCAGTTTTCACACTGGTCAATGAAAAATAGCCAGCGTTTATCAAGTCAATGAAAAATAGCCACTATTTTGCTGCAACAGGGACCGGTCCAGTATAATATACGGGAGTTCTGGTGCATTTGTGTACGAACTCCAGCATATTAACTCCTGTAAAATTTGTGGGAGACTGGAGCACCAGTGCTCCAAACTCCAGTATATTATACTGGACAATTATACTTGCTGGAACTCCCGTAAAATTTGCGGGAGTTCCAGCATAATTATGCTTGAACTCCCGTAAAATTTGCGGGAGTTCCAGCATAGTTATCCTGGAACTCCCGTAAAATTTACGGGAGTTCAAGCATACTTATGCTGGAACTCCCGTAAAATTTGCGGGCGTATTTTTCCGGATTTTGAACAGTGTTTTCGCTCAGATTTAAAGTGGCTAAATTTCGATGACTTTTGAAACTTGACTATTTTTCAACGACCAGTGGTAAATATGGCTATTTTTGAATTTCTCCCTAAAAAAGTCAACACATGATCCTCCAAGAGGATTCAACATGTTAAAAGTGAGAAAACCTTAAGTTAAAAGTTACTTTACCTATTTACCCTTTAAAAAAATTAATTACCCTAAATTAAAAAAAGAAGGGAAGAAACTAACGCCTACCATATAAGGCAACGTTTCAAACCATTATGAAGTCTTATGACAATAAAAAGGCAACGGTTCATTAATGCACTTCAACAATTACCTTCTTTAATAGAGATTTTTACATGCTTGGTCCCTTTTTAAGAACTATTCTCATAAATGATAGTAGGTTTTGTTTATTTCAGAAACAACATATTTTTTTATTTTTTTTAGAACTTTCACATTGATAACTCTATTAACTAAGGGATCCCTATACATTAATACACTTTTTTACTACATTTCCTTTTCCCTCAATCTTCCATAATTTCTTTTTTCTCTTCCATAAATAACACTTACCAAATATATCAAAGATTTTGAAAGCAGAATATCTCAAAAATAATTTCCTCTGCACAATGAGAATTTCAATATTTTTTTTAAACTTTTTTCTGTATAATTTTATTTTAACTCAAAATATATCTTTAATATATATTTCAAGTATATTATATTGTGATAATTTACAATGTAAATATTCCATCAATATGTCATATATATATATATATATATATATATATTTATATGTATTTATACCACATATATAACTTATATATATACATCATAATACATTATTATATTGATATTATTCAATGTATGTTACTAGCATATACCTTACATACAATTTAATCTAAAATATTAACATGCCACTAATATGTCTGTAGAAGAAAATAAATATGTCATATATACTATTTATATACAGATAATTTATACAAATATGCATGTTATATTAGTGCAAAATATAAATGGCATATTAATAATACTATTTAAATATAAATAAGTGTATAAATAACATATGCATATATACATGATTTTTCCTCAAAAAACACATGATTTATAATATACCACAAACTTACATTATATTTTTTTCACGAAATATATGTATTTTATTTCATTGGAATATACAGATATATAATTTTGCTAGGATTAAGTTGAATAAAAAGGTCCATGTATAAAAAGAAAAAAATTTGTTATGGAATGGATTAATGATATATATTTAAATATAAAGACGTATATAAACAACATATGCATATATACATGAATTTTCCTAAAAATATATCATTAATGTATATATACCACAAACATACATTATAATTTTTTCATAAACTATATGTATTTTATTTCATCAGAATATAAAGATGTATAGTTTGCTACGTTACATTATATAAAAAGGTCCATGTATGGAAAGGAAAAATTTGTTACAGAACGGCTTGGTTTCTAACAAAATCATAAAACATTTTATGGAATGGAGAGAAACAATAGGGAAAAATACTAAATACTAGGACTGCCTTTTTAAACAACTTGATTCTTGCTGATTTGAATTGAATTAAATCGTTATATGTATAAATATTTTACTGCCATATTTGTTAATCATTAATTAATGCTAATCTTTTGTAGTATATTTTTAATAATGTGCTATAAATGAAAGTAGCCCATTTTAATATGTGTATCAAGAAGCAGGGGCTGTGATGCTCTTGGATTTCCTCCAAATTCTCACAACGAGAAAGAAGTGCAAGAAGAGGAGAGAGAGACAACACAAGAGTAAGAACTTGAAGCTACAAAAAATTCTTCACATTCCTCTCTACATTGGACTGTAGGAGTATAAAAAGATAATAGGAGTACCACCAATAGAGTTTCTCGTATGAGTATAAAAACATAATAGGAGTACCACCAATAGAGTTTCATGAATTCTTGCAAGGTATCCGTTCTAATTTTAACGTTGTTTGTTAACAAACCATTTCAACTTTTTCTTCGAGTCAATTTTCTCGCTCAGTTTTGGTTATCTGAAATATTAATATTATAAAATTACATATATTCATCTGTTTATTAAATGAAGTGACAGAACGAAGACATGAATGATGTGACAAAGCGAATGTCTTCAAACGTGTCAAATGAAATGGTTTTTCTGGCTCAAATGATGTTCTTTCTTGCCGTTGCTCGGAGATATTGGAGCAGTTTGACGAAAACAAATACAGGTTTCTCGCCCAACTTATAACTTATTTTTATATTAATATTTATCATTTGCTATTTATGAAATTTATTCTGTACAAGTGTTATGGCAGATATTTATTATGTTATGATTTTGAAATATATTAATTTGCAGGCATCTGATGATTAGAAAAAACATATATTTATAAGTTAATTTCATTTTTTCTTCTGCCAGATAAAAATGATTAATTAATATGCAATTTCTAAGTACGCATAAAATATTATGGATGATTATTTTCAAGGTTGAAAGATATCAATTAAGCTTAAATTAATATTTAAAAATATTCTTAAGATCATGTGAAAAATTAAAGTTTACATAAATATTATTTACCAATTAGTGACATGGTATCATAAATCTGAAGTCTCTTGAGAGAAGCATAACATATTAATATTTTATGTATTACGCTCGACAACAAAACATATGAACAATTTAAAATTTGTGATATATATTGGTCATTAAAAGCTCTTGACTTTTTGTCTTATTTTTTTTAAATAAGTCTCGTTTAGTTAAATGGGATGGAAAAAGAAATTACCTTACCGTGTTAAACTAATGTGGAAAAAGGACCATGATAACCAGAGGAAGATATAAAGCTCTAAGCATTTATTGAAGAAGATAAAATTGATACTTTTAAATAGTACATCGAATATATAGAACTTTACCCTTAATGTAATCATTTACTTGATTACCTAATTTTTAATAGGTAGATAAAGGATGACTCATTATGCAATTCATTTTTCATATCCGCCAATGATATTATTTGGATTAATCTAACACTTATTGATATAAAAAAAATATTACTTATAGGTGTATATGATGAAATTGAAATTGTTTGCATGACATATACATTAAAACATGAATAGTGAAGCTTAAAATAATGCAAAAAAGAGAAATCAAGCTTGAGAAGACAATTATGCCAAGCCAATTGATATTAGTATGGACGAAGAATATGAAAAATATCAAAATGGCTAGAAGAACAGATATAGAGTTCGTCGAAGAGTTTGTTTGACGTTAATTTATTCATAAAAGATCTTAACATTATACGAGAATACTAGCTTTTGGTATATTTAAATTTATTATATATATATATATATATATATATATATATATATAATTTTACCTAGCTACAATGAATTTTTCGGTAAAAGGCATTTTTATTATTAACAATACAAGTAAAATCAGTATTTTCCCAAACCCTACTTGTGAGATTTCACTGGAGAAATTGTTGTTGTTGTTATATGGAAATTACATCTCAGACATCAAGAAGCAAATATAATTAGCATTTTAAAGAAGAAATTACACCTTTATTATTAACAATACAAGTAAAATCAGTATTTTTCCAGACCCTACTTGTGAGATTTTCACTGGAGAAATTATTGTTGTTGTTGTTATATGAAAATTACATCTCAGACCTCAAGAAGCAAATATAATTAGCATTTTAAAGAAGAAATTACACCTTTATTGTTAACAAAACAAGTAAAATCAATATTTTGGGGATTACATTTGTTTTTTGCTAAAAATAAATTTACACAAGTAAACTAACATCTTCAATAAGGTTTCCACCAATCAAAATAAGAAAAATATATACTTCAATAGATAAATTATACCCCATAAGCAAATGCAAAATTAGATAAACTACAAGATCCCAAAAATTAAAATCATAAATCT